AAATTCTATAATTTAATATCAATATGCATGTTTCCAAAGAAACTAGGCACCGTCGCCACTAACATCGAGGAATTAATCGACACCATGACAACGTACCGTTCTGATTCCCGTTTAGATCGAACACGATCAGAGGAAACGTCTCGAGTTCCCATCAGATTAGCCCACCAAAGCCTTGGCATATTCTCGTCGGATTAGCATATCAATGAAAGGGGATGATCGGTTGAGTCTTGGGTTCTCTTTTGCAGTGTCTTTCGGCGGCATAATCGGCTTATTTCTCGGAGGTTCATTAATCAGCGCGATCGAGCTGATCTACTACCTGCTGGTCGCCCTGTTCTCGTACCTCGCCTCGTGTCTGGCGACCGCCAAACAAGAGACCGGAAACGGAGGGAAGATTCTGCCCAGCAGACGCGCCGATCTCCCGTCGCTCCTCGCGTTGCCCATTCCGGATTACGGTCCACGAAAAACGAGATCCAGGAGGTTCCCGATCTTAGTGAATTACACTCCCGTGAAATCGAATTTGAACAGATACTGAGCCAACCGGGAACAGTCTAGTTTCGTAACCGGCCACTCGCCGGAATCGCGATTACCGTTACTCGCGATTTATCGGCGACGTTGATGGCCGAATGAAAAAACCAAAGAAGAAAGAAAGAGGAACCGGAAAAAGAAGCAGAAGAAGTTGAAGAAGCTTGAGCGGGAAATTGGGGATGGAAAATGAGGGACCGCATCGATTTCGCGTAACAATCTGGTTTTTTTTACTGCAAATAGAAACTTCCCGGATAGACGGCGATCACGCCGCGGAACAGCGAACGACGCGGCGTGGCGCGGTAGCGCGACGCACGCCGATGCACAAGGATAACGATCGTCGCTCCCGCGCGGCCGTTGGAATTATGTAAACGCCCGGATGCACGGCGCAACGATAGGAAATCGATGCGTTTCGAGCGTTTTTAGACTGTCGTTTTCTGCGTTTATGCTCGCGTTTACCGGTCCCGATTCGCGATCCGTGATCCGCGATCGGATATCGGAGTTATCGGGATCGCTTTGCAAACGTTAACACGCCGCACTGTGTGTATTGAATTTAAATGCAGCGAGATCGCGCGCGGCAAGTTGCACCCCTGATTGCCCATGTTCGCTTAACTTAGCCGTTGCTGTTAACAATCTTCACTCTTCGTTCGGTGGAATGTATGTGTATCGAGTCTTTGTAACAATAGAATACATATTGTAGAATAAATGTCTGGTTCGCCTAAGCGATGATCCGCCGATTGCCGTTAATATCTTTTCACTAGGTTCAACTCCCCTTGCCGGTTGAGCTTCCCCGCGAAAATCGGACTGGCAGCCGACGAAACGCGAAAGTTCTCAAGCGGCAGATTTTTCCCGGAAACAGGTGCACGGGCGACGAAGCAAGAGAGAATGACGGTTTGCTAGGGGCGAAACGAAGAGGACCAAGGACGGGATATGCGCGCGAACCGTCTCGGCCCGCGAAGTGGAAGGGGCCGCGCTGGAACACTTTACATCTGGCCGGCTGAGATGGAACTAAATGTACCGGCCGTCCGCCGGATCCCCATTTAGCCATTTATTATTTATGAGACGACGGAGGGCCGAGCCGTGGGGGCAAAGGGTGAGGCGAGAAGTTGCGCTGTCCATCGTAGGCGACGAGGCTGCGGACGGAAGAGTAGAAAGGCGGAGGGAAAAAAGAATTCTTTCTCTCTCGCGGACGCTTATCTCTTCCCGGGCAGGTTGTCGGGCGCGCGAGATTTATCCGGCGTGAAAGGAGACACTCCGCGGGGCCGTCTTTTTTTCAGACGGTTTTAAAACCGTCGGTCCGCGGCTTAACCCGAACCGCCTGCGAACCGTGGCTGCCAGCGAGAAGATTCCCTTCGACAGAAGTATCGCATTATATCGCGTCTCCTTGCGCGGAACGTTTTTCTTCGAAACTTCGAATCGTTCTCCCTTAAAGTGGTTCCTCGGTTACATCGCCGAGTGTCGCTCACTCCGGGCGAGTCTTGGAAACAGGTGAAAGATCGCGGGAATAAAACGCGAGGCAGGCGAGCGACGTTGCGCTCGATCTTCCTTCAGTTTCGATGGTTCGAGCTTCGAATTCTTTTTGATGTATTCAATTCGTTTGGAGAAGGTAGCTGGCAAAAGGGTTCGCCGACTGTTTCGAAGACTGCAATCTGTCAGTTAATTGCTACCTTTTCACGAGGAAATCGTCTTCGTCACTCCGAAGACACTCTCGAAACATCGTGACACATAATTTCGAACGGAACGGAACCGTCTTTGACGGGGTTGTCGCTGTCAGACGCGAGGGGTGAAAGATACCGTCGGAGGGATCGTTATCGAAAGTAATTCGACGGATATTCCCGTCGCAGCGCGAAGAAGAAAGCATCCCCCTTCGTCCCCGAACTACTCAAGAGGTACGTGAAGGGTTTAGATAACAGCACGCCCGAGAGTTACTCCAAACTTTCTCGCTTCCTTCTCGGAGGCAGGCCCGGTGGCTCTTCTTGCTCTCTTCCTTTTTCAACCCTCGCCTCACACTCCTCGTTCCAACCGTCCTCACCTTTCACCCCCGTCGGTCGGCTTCTCAGGCGCAGGCAGCAACTTTCCTACGACAGTTTGACAAAATGCAGATTTCCTTCGTTTCCCTGACAACGATCGGTTTTTCTGCTTACTCCTCTTCCTTCCGCCTCCTCGTCGTTCCTTTCCGCTTCAGCCTAGCGCCCGTGCGCGACGTGCATGCTTAAGCTTCTTCCTTGCTCTTGTCCGCATCCCGCTGCAGGATAGTGGCCAGTGAAGCCTCTTCTCTCCTCGCACACGACTTCCTCCGCCGTCGCTCCTCGTCGACGTCGACGTTTATTCGGCTACTTCCGACGACTGCCACCGATATCGACGGAGTAGCATTTTTAGAAACGTAACAAGGAGTCTGATTGCCGATCCTGAAGGGTTCGTGTGAATTTTGAATTTTCTTGTACGGGTGCAATTGAAATTATTGGTTGTAACGTGTACAGGGATAATCTTACAAGCTCTGCATTGCATTTTGGACATTAATGGACGCCGTAAATGCATAAAATCTGCAGTGTAGTTGCGATATATTAGCTGTTACGTTTTTAGTCGGTAGTGATTATTTAGCTGTAAGTTACAGAGTTTACCGCGTGCCACGCAACAGCTTTAACGAGGGTGTGCGTATCGTAGCTGCCAGAGTGGATCACCGCGTCTTCGTTCCTGACACTTTTATCCAGCCGTGAAGGCTGACGTACCGAGATCAACTTGGATTTAACTTGTAGACCATTCCGGAACCCGCCCGTGTTATCACAGACTGCTGCGAGCTCCCAATCGGAATTTTTCTGTTCGTTGCAGCTGCTAGGTGCTTGCACTTCGTGGGAATATTATAAATTGATGAAAGTGTCGGATACGGTCGGAACGAAACACTTTTCTCTAATGTCGTCATTAGAAGTCTAGATGCTAATGTACAGAACGAACTTCATCGAAATCACGCTCTTTGAATCGAAAGTTTCATCGCGTTGCGTGAAATCTTGATTTCACCGAGACTCTCAGTGGGCTACTCATTACCGAGTGCACATAGAGAGAGTCAGATTTCAGCAGAATTTGTTCAGCGGAAATCCCCCGATCATTTTATCCTCGTAAAAGGTGTCTGGTTCGTCGTCCAGGCGTCGGAACGTCGTGTAACGTCAGAAATTTTGAATTCAGTCGGTGAAAGCTCGGGTCTTGGGGCGGACCGCGAGTTAGGGCGGCCGCCTCTCGAGGAACGTGGCGCAACGTACGAGCACTTTTAGCTGCTCGGCGAATTCATTTCAGCCCCGGTATTATGGACGTTTTCGAGGACTGAACGAATACATTTGCCGTACACCCCGTGAACGTTGCCGCGACGTCCTCGACGATATCATTCACCGTGACGCCGCGAGCATTTCGGTGAATGCGGACGAATATACGCAGGCAGGACGCGACAAAGTATTTTCAACCTGGTGTGCGCATTACTGTGGAATTGCGCGACTTCGCTGAAAGACGTTCCCTCGGCGTTTTCCATCGAGACGCTAATCATCGCGTTGCAATGTTTATTTGCGCATCGTCTTCTCTCATCATTTACTAATTGTGGCGGAAGTATTGTAATTTGGATGATTGGTCTATACTACAATTTTGGACAAGTTGAACTTGTTAGTTTCGATGGATGAAACCACTTAAAAACGTTATTCCTATCCATTGCTTCCCTCTACTTTCTCCCAGACTACTTTTATTTTTGTACGAATAAATACATTAAATATTTCCTAATGTGTATTTTTGCGTCAAGATGGAGCTCAGGGATTAATGGATGTTTTAGTTGGTACAATGTCGTTATTATAATTGGCCGAACGACGGTGCGCGAACAGGGCTCGTGCCCGATTCGCCATTCAATATTCATGTAACAAGAATTACGGAGCAGTAACTTTTCGTCCCGCGGTTATCTAAATCCTCCGTTCTCCTCGAGCAATTCAAGGAGGAAGGTAAGAGCCTGTTCCTCGCTGTTCGTGGGACGAGGGGAACATCCCCGGTATTACCTCCGATAAGGGTCCCCGGGACGGTATCTGCGCCTCTCGTTCTCCACGACAACACGATTATCCGGCTCGTCTGGAACGAGTTATTCTTCGGTATCGGTCCAATATTACCAGGATGGATATTTTTCTCCAGCGTGCGCGCCACGACAGAAATCTCTCCACGCGTTCCCCGGCAACGATATCTGTCTTCCCATCGAATTCTTCCCGTTATGGATGTCATGAATCACTAATGTTGCGATTCCCGTCAGCAAATTTGAGAAACGCGGACATAAATTCGAAACTGTACCGTGAGGATGAATTTTACAGCTCCGAGGGAAACTGTTTCAAACTTTCCCCCACAAAATCGAATGTTTCTATCAGAAAATCTGGGAAACACTGAACTCGACGAAGAGTGGACATGCTCACGTACGCAATTCAAATTTATATCTTAAGGTTGAGATTTTTATCGATTCAGAGGAAACTATTTGCCAAAGTTTCTTCGACGAAATTGAATATTTCTATTAAAGAGAGACTTATGAGAGTTCGACGAACACTCGACCCCCTCACCGCGATAAATTAAAGCTTTTGTTCAGCTGCGCAGCGTGTTTGTTCTCCGTTCGTTCATTTTATAGAAATGCAGTCCGTGGAGGAGGGAAGGGCGTGCCGGGCACCGTGATGGGGAAGAAGTATCGTTTGCCGGGCTGCTTTGTTGGTAACGTCGAAACGCGCCGGTGGTAGAACTGGCATTGGATCTCTTCCAAGCGACTTTAAAGTTCACCAGCCCCAGCCCCGCGCCGGAAAAATTGGAAACATCTTCGGTCGGTGTAGAGCATGCGGATTTCTGTTGGAAAGACAGTCCTCGAAGTTCGATCTCGCCTGAAAATTGGAAGCGGCCGCACTGACGTGCAGCGTTGAAGAGTCCTCCGTTCCCCCGGTGACTCCTCTAACAATCGGAAACCGTATTTTCCGCCGCGAGTTATGCGAATTCCAAAGTGAAACAGATTTAAAGTTTCCGAATGGGAAACAGGAGATCACCGATTCCTCGTGTCGCGGGAAAATTAAACCTTCGGAGCGCCTTTGCCGCGGCTGGAATTTGTTACGTCGCTAGATAGA